CGGCCGGCCCCGTGGGCCTGGCGCGCGGCTCCGTGGGGCGGGGCGGGGGCGGTCGGGCCGTGCTCCGCGCATGTCCGGTGACGCCCCGGCGCCGTGGGCCTCATTGCGCGCAAGTGCGGTGCCGGCGCGGACGCTGCGCCCTGACCTCTGGCCCGTCCCCCGCAGCCCTGCTGCTGCACCGCTACGCCGTGGCCCGCGCCATCTGGGCCGACATGCTGTCCATCGCCGTCACCTACTTCATCACGCTGTGCCTGTTCCCGGGTCTCGAGTCCGAGGTCCGCCACTGCGTCTTGGGCGAGTGGCTGCCCATCCTCATCATGGCCGTGTTCAACCTCTCCGACTTCGTGGGCAAGGTAGGTCCGCAGCCCCTTCCCTGCGTCTGGGGGAGAGGTGGGGGCGCGAGAGCCGGGAGGCCCGGGGAAGGAGCAGGCCCCGAGCCGAGCACGCCCGTGTCTCCCGAGTGGGGAGGGCGGTGGCCAAGCAATGACGCGGCCCCGCGACCTTGCAGAGCGGCTCCGTAACTGCCTGTCGGCCGTGCGCACAAAGTCCGGCGCCGTCGTTCTGTGTCTGTGCTCAGCCCGCAGGGCCCGGGGCAGGCCTCCAAAGACGGCACAGGAAGTACTTCCGGGGCCAGGAGAATCTGGGCAGAGTGCTCTGTGCTGCGGGTGCAGGACAGGGTTGGGGGGTCAGGGCTGGAGTAAGGTCAAGGCTCCCGTTTCTGGGACAGGCCTGACGTGGGGGAACTTGAGGCTCAGAGAGGGAAAGCCGTTTGCTCGAGGTCACACAGCAGGGAGTCTGGTTCTTGAGGGAACGAGGCTTAGTTAGCGGGCTCAGCTCCAGATCTTGCGGCTTCCTGCTGTGGGAGTGGTGGCAGGTGACCCTCGGCGCCTCGGGTGTCATTTTTCAAGCGGGGTCAAGAGCCCGTCCTGCGAGGGTACGGTGAGGATTGAGCAGGAGGGATCTGTGCGGTGTTTGGAAGGATTCTGGACACACGGCGAGGACCGCATGTCACTGTGACGTGGGATTTGTGGATTTGGTGGTCCCGGCCGGGTGAGGACAGGGACGCAGCCTGAGCCGGAGCGTGTGGAGACAGGGGCCGCGTGTGGGGGCCGCGGTGGAGACGCCGGGGTGGTGGCCTCAGTGGAGGGAGGGGGCCGACGTGCTTCGCTCCCCGCAGATCCTGGCAGCTCTGCCCGTGGACTGGAGGGGCACCCACCTGCTGGCCTGCTCCTGCCTGCGTGTGGTCTTCATCCCCCTCTTCATCCTGTGCGTCTACCCCAGCGGCACGCCCGCCCTGCGCCACCCGGCCTGGCCCTGCGTCTTCTCTCTGCTCATGGGCATCAGCAACGGCTACTTTGGCAGCGTGCCCATGATCCTGGCGGCGGGCAAAGTGAGCCCCAAGCAGCGGGAGCTGGCGGGTAAGGCCCGGCACCCCTCTGCCCGGCAGGGAAATCGAGGCCCGCAGAAATCCCTGCCACGCGGCAAGAAGGTGCATTTGGGCTCCGGGATCAGATCGATCTCAGGGAGTTTGTAGTGCGAGCGTGTTTGTCGGTCGTTTGTTCCTTCGTTCCACAACTACGTGGTGAGCCCCTACCGTGGGCCAGGCGCCTTTCTAGGTGCTGGGGACTCGGCGGCCACGAAACAGCGCTTCCTGCACTCGTGGGGCTGACAGTGCAGAGGTGACGGGTGACAGGGCATGTAACACGTTGAGTGGTAAGTACGACAGAGAAAAGTAAAGCAGAGAAGTGGGATGTGGGAGTTGGGATGGGAGCTTGCGACGTAAGCAGAGCAGTCTGGGAAGGCTCCCTGAGGAGGTGACTTTTGACACCCGACCTGGAGAGAGTGGTGAGGGACATGTGACAGTGCTAGGGACTAGCCGGTGGGAAAGCCCAGAGGCAGAGCTGGCGGGGGGGGTCGGGGCGCCGCCAGGGCAGGCAGTGGGAGGCCCGAGGACAGACTGGACCTTAATGTGTCTTAAGACCCCTTCTGGTGCTGCTTGGACAGCGGGGAGGGAACAGACGGGGGCAGGAAAGGAGTGACGGGTCCCGCACCCGTCCGTCCGTCGACAGCGTAAGGGGCGGGGACCCTGACAACAGGGGAGGTTGCCTTGTCTGTGGAGGCAAATGGTGGTTTCTGGATGGGTTTTGATGGTAGAGCCCACGGGGCCAGCTGATGGATTGGGAGAGCGGGTGTGAGAAGGGGACGGGAGTCCGGGAGGAGCCCCCACTTTGGGGCTGTTGCAAGAAGCTTGGGTTGCCGTCTCTTGAGACGGTGGGGGCTTGTGGGGGAAGGGGCCCTGGAGTCTGTTCTGCGCACAGTGGTCCCAGAAACCCCATTAGATGCCCTGGACAGTCCGTGACCAGGAAGCACGTGGAGACGGGGGGCTGGAGGTGGAGAAGCAGGCAAGGCCCCGGGCACCCGACGTGCTCCCATCGGGGTGTCTCACAGCCCTGGGACGGCCGCCTCTTCGGGAGCGGGCGCCGGTCGCTGCCTCGGACCCAAGAAGCCGGGGCTGCTGCCCAGCAGCCCTTTGTCGAGACCACCGGGTTGGTCCGCATGGGTTTGGCCACCGCGGTCCTCTGAGCGCCCCTTGCTGCCCCGCCCCCACCTGCTCCCTCAGGTCCAGTCTCGTCCGCAGGGAACACCATGACCGTGTCCTACATGACGGGGCTGACGCTGGGCTCCGCCGTGGCCTACTGCACCTACAGCCTCACCCGGGACGCCTACAGTACTTGCTTCCGCCCCTCCGCCAACACCTCCGCCCCCGCCGGCCTCTGAGCCGGGCCCGGGCCCCCCCCACTCTGGCCTGGACTAGGGGCCCCGAGGCCCGAGGCCCCCTCCCCGCCCCTGCCTGCAGTGCCTGCGGGGCCCCGGCCTCCCCCCGTGCCAGTAACGCCACCCTCCGGGTCCGGCCGGCCGTCACGGCGGCCCCAGGGTTCTGCCGAGCCCTCCGGCCCCCCAGAGCCACCCAGCACTGTGCTCTGCGTCGCGTCTCCGGCCTGTCCTTCACCCTCTGTCTGTATCCGGTGGCCCCAGCTGTCGCCAGACGAGTGCCCTCTCTGGGGTCGCAGCCGTTCCCGGCCAGGAGAGCAGACTGCCAGCCGGTATCCCCTCCTGGTGACCCTCACCCACGGACCCGGGCCCCAGCCCTCCTCCACCAGGGGCCCTCCTCATGAACACGAGAGGTCCTCAGCGGAGAGGGCCTGTCCCCCTCCGTCTGTTCGTAAACACTGCTTCTTTCGAACAAAACACATCTGCCGGGAGGGAATCGTAGCCCTGGGTCTGAATGGTTTCAGACCACGGTCTCCGCCGGTCTATGACCGCAGCTTCCGCACCGGTCTGGGCGCACCCACCCCTCGCCCAAATCCCCCTCCGTGCACCCTGGCGCCCACCTGATGCCACAGGCCTGGCAGTCTGTGCCTGCCCCGAGACCCCGTCTGCTTCTCTGGCCACCCCGTCTGTCTGTGACGCCGGAAGGGGGCACGCTCT